TTTTGCTTGCTGTCTTACCCATGAACCTTTTACACAGTGTGTATTGTTTGCTGTCTTATAATGAATCTTTTACACAGTGTGTATTGCTTGTTGTCTTATAATGAATCTTTTACACATTTTTTATTGCTTGCTGTCTTACCCATGAACCTTTTACACAGTGTGTATTGTTTGCTGTCTTATAATGAATCTTTTACACAGTGTGTATTGCTTGTTGTCTTATAATGAATCTTTTACACATTTTTTATTGCTTGCTGTCTTACCCATGAACCTTTTACACAGTGTGTATTGTTTGCTGTCTTATAATGAATCTTTTACACAGTGTGTATTGCTTGTTGTCTTATAATGAATCTTTTACACATTGTGTATTGCTTGTTGTCTTACCCATGAATCTTTTACACAGTCTGTATTGCTTGCTGTCCTACCCATAAATCTTTTACCCAGTGTGTATTGCTTGCTGTCTTACCCATGAATCTTTTACCCAGTGTGTATTGCTTGTTGTCTTACCCATGAATCTTTTACACAGTCTGTATTGCTTGCTGTCTTACCCATAAATCTTTTACACAGTGTGTATTGCTTGCTGTCTTACCCATGAATCTTTTACACAGTGTGTATTGCTTGCTGTCTTACCCCTGATCCCTGAATGTCGGCCTGCAAAGCACTGGGAACGCCAATATTATAGTAACAGCCTAGGGCCAGCAGACAGTCACATACTAGGATTGGATAGCGCCACCTCCCTAATAAATGAACCGTAAAGAATGTATCAAATAAATTGGTAAGCAGTGCATAGAAAAAGATCAAGTTTAGTTAAGCTAGCATGAATGATATTCATCTAATGCAAATGAACGTTTGATCCCGACGCCAACGATCAAACTCTAGTTTAACCTAGTGTTAAGACTTTTTGAATACCTTTGTATTTTTTCCCTTTTATCATTTGGAAGTTAAACGTTCGACTGTCATCGGATAGTCACTAGGTCTATCTACATTTTGAGGTAGTAGTGTGAATAAAATACCAAACCGACTTCTAACAATCGAATCTCATAGCACATTCGTCAAGACGTCTAGTATTTAATTGAAATTAACCCGTCATTTAAAAGAAGCAAAAACATAGAAGTGTTTAACTTCAACTTCAACACTTTGACGACTCGGAGAAGAATGAGGTAAAATGAATGTATCGTTGAAAATATGGTAGAGCAGACCGAAACGACACTTTTCTGATATTATCACCCAAAAATAAAGACATTTTTACAAAATCTATTAATGTGATAACAAGAACTTCGATATACCATGTAGCATGGTAGTATTTGTATCTATAAATTGGAACATTGCTTGCACAGCCTACTTAAAGCTACCTGACTGGGTTTGGGTTATAGAAGTGTTGTAGTAACTAATGCCAATTACTATAAATCACGGCAGTTTAGGTATTGTAAACAGTATGATAGCTATGGAGATCATTGAAATACGTGCTAAATATGTATCTACTATTACTTACATTCATGTATTTTCATATCACTGTGTTGCGTTATTGCGTCATGGATTATAACTGAACTCTCTGAAATGAAATCAATATATCGACAATGAGCATATTGTACATGGCGTCTGTGGCACGAAAAGTACGTTAATCTTCTAATAAGAACGGTTATTATAAATGGTTATTGATATTTACAGACAATCTCTTTCTAAAATGAATGACCACCTGACTATTTTCGTCTTCTCAATGATTGGTCATTGTTCTTCCTCTTTCGTTGACACTGTTTGTGCCCTTTTGAGTGTCAGTAACAGCTATTTACATGCTTTAATCGCGCCATAGATGCTCTTGCATTTTGTCCTATTATCCTGTGACAATCGTATCACATATGATGAACAACTTGCATACTACATCCACCTTCTAGTACAAAGGAGGGTAAGATATGATGTTCAGGTTTTTGGCCGTTTGCGTCCTTTTCCTTCAGAGCAATACATTTACGGTTCCGTCATCTTTATTTAGCAGAAGGTTGTCAACAAAGGGCCTCTGTTCTATGATTTCTCCCTCGTACGTAAATCCGGGATGTGTTTCCGAAATCTAAAGCGTTGGTCAAATCCTATTCTACCTGCTCTTGATAATCAGCAGTATTTCGTCAACAGATCGTTTCCAGAAGTCCACATTAGGAGACACATAACCACCTAAGCGGTTTCAAATGAGTCAAAGTGCACCATCAACGGATGTGTTGGTAAATAGAGACACATAACCCTGCTAATTGAATTCCTCAGATTATTTAATCATGATTGGCATTTTTCCAGAGTTCTGGGTTCACACTCTAGCATATACGGTATATGACCAGATAATAAACAAATCAATTTGACGATTTGATTGTCGTTTCAAATATTTATAACAACTAAGAGTACATACGCTTAAGAATAGTCGAACCGGCTTGTAGATTTTATTACCGTCTCGTACATACTTTATACCTTACTGTTCACACGCGTTACCGGGCACTTGTCTGATAAAGGTGGCAATGAACATTTCGTACCAGTTATCGAAATGTCCCACATGAAAATTTCACTGTTGATGCTAAATGAACCTGTATTCTATTTACATTTTCTAACTTGAAGACAAAGTTTCGTAAGTGTAGAGAGAAAGTTAAGTTTAGATAATGATTGACCTCTTTAACGGTTTTTGTATGTAATTATATTATACCTATCACCTAGAAACCCATGTATCTCGTGATAATGCTGTACGTGTTTGTTTTCAATAGAGTATTCATAATAAATGAAAGAATATTAAGTAATTTAAGTCTGGTCGCCTTACTAGAATAAGTCGCAGTTTACTGGTTTATCTCTGTGTGTGGTGTTGTAGGTTCGTTTTGTTTACGTTCCACTTTGTTATCGGTCAAATTATTTATTTCTAGTCATATCTTAAATAAATGTGTGTGTGGAAATTTTCCAAAGTCCAAAGTATTCCTGCTATTTTTTTGTTATCATCAGAACGAGCGATATCACTTTGTACGTCAATGTAGATTTATAATTCATTGTATATCTTAAGCCATTATATAAGCCGTTATATATATACTGAAATTCCTGATCATTATTTCAAACTCAACAAAATTATTACAACATTAAACTTCCGTTAATATGACATTCTTCTAATATTAGACCCCAATATGAATGTACCTATATAGGCTATAGTATGCTGTAGCTATGAACGCATGTGAGATATCTGTATGGAAGGGTAACCACCAAGCTCAATACACACTGCTCAACATACCAGGCCACTTGTTTATCAGTACAAATCATATCGTTCATCATAGTAATCATAGAAAGACGAGTGACATTATGCACTGTAATACAGTTTGTAGCAACAAACACCGATATAGAATTCAAATATCATACCTGTGTGCCTAAATGCAAAATTCTTCTAGTTGGTGTTTTTATCCAAATCACCCTTCACTGCTTTTATACATATCATCTAAATCGTCAGATACAAGCTTCACCACCATCAGTTTTAGTCAAGTCCACCCCCGTTTATAATCAGTAACGGTATCTCACCATCATCCCTATACTATATAACTGTAAACTGTTATCGTCCCTATAACGCTATACACCCAGAACAAACACAGCGAGTGTCCCAACACATATACAACACAGTCTCCGAGACTGTTGTATACAACTGTCCGAAACAATGGACGCATTTTTTGTTTTCTAGTCATAGTGCACTGCTATTATCTTGAAAGAACAAACAGTTAGCGTTAATATACTGATGCAAGCTCCTCGATATCGATATTCGTAAAGCACAGAAGTACGTGCTTCAATCTAGCATATCTGATTTTTTACATTTAAACACGTTTGCTTTTAGCATTATACTAAACGATTGATTATTGGAATGCCATATATTCAAATCTTATCCTTAGTGGCAACCTTTTCCACACAGCAGTATAGTTTGCCGTATTTGACGGGGTGTATTATGACTGGTGCCATATGCGGTACAGGAAATGCTAACTATTCCGGAGCTTCTGTTCCATGAGGGTTTATTATATACATTTCCTGGTGTGTCCTTGGTTCCTACATGTAATGTAGTCTTTCATGGGCGATTGCGAGTGCCTATTTTGTCTTTCTCTATTAATGTTGTAGTGCGTTTTGTTACTCGACGAGGAAATATATTTCGTGCATTTATTTTACTCAAATAAATCCAAAGTATATTGCATCAAGAACATTTTATTTATTTTCAGGGTTACTTTGATATATTAAAACACACAAAAAACATACACTCTTAAACAATAATCAGTGATTATTTCACATGTGACATGGCAGTCAACAGCGTACAAACGTAAATGAGATTCATATGGAAAGGTAACAGTCCTAAATTACAATGTCTAAACTTTTAAACAGGTAATGAGACGATCATCTTCTGTAGGTACGGGTCTTCCTGTCCCCTTTCACAAACTCCCTGATCCATCTCAGGTATTTCTGAGTACGCGTGTATACTCCAGGGTGCCCTACACTCGCGCACCCTTCACCCCATGACGTCACACCGACCAGCGTCCACTTACGGCGACCAGCTTCCTTACAGACAAGAGGACCCCCAGAATCTCCCTGGAAACATAACGCTTAAACATAAGGAAATACACAACACATGATAGAAAAATACTGGCCTTTAACTGAACAGAACATTACCTACCTCATGAATACATTATCTATGTTGTCACTTCTTGTACTTGTTTGTATTAATACAATAAGATACATGTACCTTGTGCGAACTCTTTTTGTACGAATCCATTACGTATTTGTCATTGGTAATACTCACGTCATTTACAGTTGTACACATGTAGTTTATAAACACAATATCTTTAATCCTACCGTTCCTAACCTTGAATCATTTTAAACCTACTATTACGCCGCCTGAATATCTATACTAATTCCTTAGCTTTTTCTAACTATTCTCGAAACACATGCTTTGCTTAAGAATACCCACTCAGTCTGCGAACGGGTACTGAAGCTGACACTCACCCTACAGCTATCTTTGCCACCGAAGTCGTACCCGGCACATAGCATGTTACTCGACACCCGCGAACCGTAGAACTGGCGACAGGCAGCATCACTATAGAGTGGTAGTCGGACCTGTCTCAGAACATCCTGATCACCTGTACCTACCAAACACAGACATTCAGAGGTTTAACCTCGCCAAAAAAGTTTGTTTCTTCTTTAACTGGTAAGGTTAGAGCACCATAGTATTGTGAAGACTATAATGATACATGTTATTCAGGCGTCCAGAAAATATCACACATGCTATCTAAAGAAATTGCATAATTTACCAACCATTTCAGGTAATTTAAGAATATTTTGACGTGACATATACTGAATGTTTTTTTTAACTCAACCATATACACACCACTCACCTTCAGTGTCTCCCCACCCTGTTGCATAACACATGTAGCCGGATTCGAACCGCATGGTTCGATTACGCGGTAGACACGCCCTGTTGACGTGAGTGTTGGTTAGATTGGCCACGCCCATCAGACGGATGATCGCTATGTCGTGTTCACGATGGCCCTGATGATAGTCTTCGTGAACCGCGATACTCCGGATCTGAAAAGTCTGTTCATGTTTTTCGGTTACAGACAAACGATAGTCTCCCAAAATAACACGCACTTCATCCAAGCTATGGAGTCTACAATAAACAGAAGTTTTTCAATGGTCAAGAAAATGGCGCATATGAAAAGGTTATTGGGGCGAAATGTGTAGTGTTATGACATTGAAGACAGTGAAGATTGGCTTGTTCACCTGTTCGACAACAATTGTTTGCATGCAAACTATATTTACTTTGTTTTTTAGTCGTCCATATAATCAATACCTACAATATCCTTGACTTCATATTGATGCTAGACTTCCTCGCGTCTCCTTCTACCATTTGTTCATATATGTGTACATATCATTTCAAAGATGATAAGCAAAGATTATTTTTTTCACTTTAGAAGAGTTTATTGAGCAACATATTTTAATTCAACATGATTGTCAAAAGATATCTTTACTAGAACTTAAATTACATTTGCATAGTCAACCTACATGTATGTCATTTTATGCCGGATTAGCAAACGAAATAAGAAAAACGCGAAAAAAACCGTCATGTCTGTCGTAGCGAGCAGTGCAAATTGAATTTTGAACCGTTTCATAAATATCTCCTTTGCGCGCCATCTTAAGTCTCAAACGTTCATGAAAATACTGGTAGCATTGAGATTGGAATTGACATGATTTATAATACTAATTTCAAATAAGCAAGCTTTTTACGACGCAATAATAAAAAAAAAATCATTGCAATCTGACTAATGAAAAAGATTCATAACATTTAGTATATAAGAGAAAGCAGAATGTATTTGATTTCTGTCTGTATGGTTATTATTTCCTTATCGAACGTACGTGTCGAAGCAGTGGGCCGCGGTGACCACCCATTCCTCGTGTATAAGAGTCCCTCCACAGAAATGATCAGAATGTCCATTCGGAAGCGTCATTCGAATTGATGCTTGCCATGGCCAGCTCCCAGAATTGGCTGCTTGACCACCAACAATCTTTCGTGACACGACAGGAATGTTCTGTATGCCACAATCTAACAAATACATATACATGTTAACATTTTCGATATATTTTACCACATTTTGATCGTACTCTGTCCACGACATGCTTCCGACTACAGTGTATCTTCCTGCTTAGAAATCTTAGTTATTAAGCAATGTCCTAGCAGAAATCTCATTTATCAGAAATCCAGGCATGACAAACTTACTAGAAATAGGAAAATGTTGAATTTAAACAAGAAAAGATGATATGACAAGAGATAAATAACGCCATATATTTTGGATAGACTCTGGAAAGATTATGTCTACTTACGTTTGTGTGGGTAGCAGATGACACCAACATCTTCGCTATGCTGACAATCATGTACGGCAATACTGTAAAAGATTCATTTGCTCTGAATCAAAACACCACGCAATATTAATAGAATCCATCACTGATGTGAGGTATTGATACAATATTGAGCAGGAGACCCGAGGCTTCTGCTCAATATTGTATCCCGAGGGTTTGAATGACCTTATCCATACCTCACATTAGGGATAGATTATATTTCTTGCTTATTAACTAAAACCCGGAAAAACTTCTCTAATAAAGTTGTAAACTGTCCGTCCATTTCTCATTTTCATATGAACCGCAGATGGCAATTGTTTATTACATCAATGACCCTGACTGACCCAAAAACTTCATAAAATGACGTCACGAACAATAGCGTGACCCCGAAAGGTCACTTTAATTCACCCGCCAGTCTGAACGTGTATGCGATACAGACCCGTGAGTCGGATAGAATTTTCCAGCACCGCAGGAAATGCGGATTTATCGGTCTAGTATGCAAGAAAACGCCTCCTAATCGTGAAACTGTTTGAAATATATATACGATTAAAGTTGAAAATACGAAGTACAAGATCTTAACACAAAGATGTATTTTACCTACTTGTTTCTCCGACATTCTGTCAATGAAGTTTCGTTCCCGATACAGTTGACCTCGTCCAGCCAGATTTGTCCCCGGCCTGCTCCGAAATTATGCACAGATCGGGCGCCCCTATTAAAAAAAGTACAGCATGGGTTTCTATATTACAAAATACGCGTTGCATTTTCAGTTAGGGTTAAAATACATTGCAACAGCCAGGGTCTTATGATGACACCATCGTAAGGAAAGTGGATGCAAGAATGAAAAAAGAAGACCCCAAGTGTTTCAATGGATGTAACAGATCTATTTTGTTATATTTAATATCGTCATGAACCAGCACTGGTTCATATCGTTAAATGCATTAATGAGTGTGGCAAAGGTAGAACAATTGGGTGTTCAGTAGTAATGTAAACATCAATGATAAATGTCCAAGTATAATACAACGTAGTGCGCTTATCGAAATATCATTTAACAGCTCCATTGTAGAAATACAGTCAATTCAAACGAGCGGTAAATTAACGATAATAGTCACAATGTTCCTAAATTTGCATCATTAGTGCTAAATGCTTTAGTCGAAGAAATAATTATAAAAGTCGGCGATTTTGATAGTTGGCAGAGTTGTCCATTTTTTGCACCGCGAATTACATGTGTTGACACAATTGGTACTTTTTCTTAAAAGCATAATTTACCAAATGTTTTTGTTACTTTTTTAAAACTATAAGATTATGTTATGATTTCAAAAGCTCCAGGGAACAGGAATCGAGTAGAATTGAGATCAAAAACATCACTAAAATACCTTTATTGCTATGATATCTATGTCCACAGAGGGAGAAATGCTCACTACTCACTCGTATCCGAGATCTCGACACACAATGTCAGCCGCTGTGACGTCAAACCCATCATCACACACTGTGCCCCAAAGGCTAGCGTACATGACCTCAAGCCTCCCCTCCCATGGCCCACGCCCACCGACTAGGCGGAACGGATCTGCAACCATTGGTATGTTGGTCTTCGCTGAAATGGCAGATGACAATTTTTTTTAAGTGGTGTCCATCTGAATATAGTCAACGGGGTATGACCTCCGACATGTACAACCTCTTTTTTGAAATTGAACCTTATCCGACGTATTTGCTGAGTGTAACAATTTATCGTGCAATTAATACAAACAGATCTGAATTTACAACAACAAAATTATGGTAATAGATAAATAATGTTCTAGTTGGTAGCTCCCGACACTTCGGTATATATGCACCCGTAATAAGCTCCCACAATTTTTCTATAGACTGCTGAAGTACACTCACGTTCACATCTGTTCTCGTCCTCGCCATCCCCGCAGTCGTCTACGTAGTTACACCGCCAGCGGGACGGGATGCATTTGTTGGATGCAGGACACCGGAACTGCCGCGGACCGCAGCGGGTAAACACTACAAAAATGTAACGAAAGAGCATTGATATGTGTCATGTTATAGAGTTACACAACAGACTGAATAGCATTACGGAACACAGGTTAATTGCTCCGAGATTGGAATATGCAGTAAAAAGACTCCTACAATTTCTATAGTTCTCTGTTCATTATAAGGTAACACAATTAACAAATCTCGTTTGTATTAGTTCAATACCCCAGTATATGACCTAATATTTTAGTTTATTTGGTGGCACTAACCTGATGATCTGATAGGTCGGGGAATCTGGCACTCGATACCCACGACATCATTATGTGAACAGGTGATATCTGCAAAAACGGCAGTAAGTAAAATAAAATCTGCTATTTTAATTATAAGTGTGGCTTGACTTTATGCCACGAAAGAAACACTTTTGTTTACTTGCTTAATGTAATGCACTTGTAAGTTGTTTCAATAACAAACAGACAATATAGTCCATGATTTGTTGTATTTCTATGAATTAGACAATGATGTAAAAAATGGGCACTTAAAGTAAAAAAACTTTTCAAAGTAATTATTTATAGAATAACGGTGGCTTACCCACGGTTCTGGTACATCGGCCGAGGTCTGTCTCTGATCCACTGCAGGACAATCGCACGGGGTGTGTGTGGTCAGTTCCTAAGTCATATTGGTCACTCTGAAAGGTTAACGCACATTAAAGAATTAATCGCTGCCTTTTGAATCCGAGCAGAAGTCATTATATAATATTAGACTTTATTCTAAATATTGTTTCTTGCGGATGCCGTCCAGTCTTATTCATATTGTAAAATTTTGTCAATAAACTCCGTTAAAATATGAAAAATGATATGTTATGCCTAAATTATTTACGTGTAAAAGTGAGTTGACCGTTCCAGAAAATCCGAGGTGTCTACATGCAACGCGTGCATTCGCATTGGTCCATCCCTTGTTACAAATCGTGCCCCACACCCCCGTCACCTTGACCTCTAGTCGACCGCTGTATCTGTCCCCGCCTACCAATCGTACCCGGTTCCACGCTGAAAGTAACGCCAAAAACAACGTCAGATGTTGGTATATAATGGATCGTTATTACATCAAATGCTTACCGAATAAAAGTACGCCGTACGAGATTACTATCTAAATTATAGGTACGCTATACCATCTAACCGTCTTGAATTATTCGTTTAAACTAAAACGCACTGGTACGTAAATGTATATTCAAAACAGGCTTTAATAAATTAATAAATGATGATTTAATCATTTAAAAAAAAACTTCTACTGGTCTAAACTTTTTTTTCTTTTTTTGTTGTTATTCTTTTTCCATTTGTGGATTAAGGAAATGTTAGCATGACAATAAAATTAATACAATGGAATTGCCATGACGCATAAAACAGTTATTTGGCAATACAACAACTATATGAAGATAGTTTCTTTACCGTATAATTGTAATAGTGAGCAGGGCACATATGGCGATGAACGAATACATTTTGTTTAGCTTAATGCAAATGTCTGATGAGCATTTGGCTCGAGTAAATGAATGAACTTGAAATTTAGCGTGAGTGTCTTATCTCTCACCGAATGCGGGTCACTGTCTTAACTTTATCCTACTGGTGTGCTAGTACACTCATCGTATTGAAAGGGCAGTCAAAACAAAAATGTCACTGACTATTCGCATAAAGGTACACAACTCATTTAATAAGAAAAAAAAGAACGGGATATCCGAAGTAGTTCCTACGTTATAAATCTCTGATGGTATTCTAACATGTCACACTTATTTCAACTTCGTTCTTTTATCATGTGACAGCTGTTATATAAGGATTGATTCCTGTTCTGTTGAGGTTTATGGAGTGTGAACTCCAAATTATCTTTGAATGAACTACGAATCGAAAACGTATCATAACATACATTAAAAGTGATTATATAAACTTATATTACTACTTATTTTTAGCATAAAGTTGGATAATAAATATCTTTGTAAACGATTATTACTAAATAAACTTGTATCACTAAAAGCCCCCAGATCTAAGTAATTGTGAAAACAATTCTAATATATATCCAACATTCAAACTAAGCTTTCACCGTTCTTGATGTAAGCGACTTTGCTATTCACTTTGTATATGTACGTATCTTAATCACGACGTTTCGCTTAACAGATTTATTTTAACATCCAATGTGTTTTTGTGGTCATATTTCCCTTTGTTGATATCGTTATCGAGTGTTTGATGCCATTAATTTTAACACATCCTCCCCTATATTGTTTCATTGAATATCTTGTAAAGTGTAGCTTTATATTTTTGAATTGTTAAAACAGTGTAGTTTATAGATGCGTAGGTCAAAATTCTACAATTAGGAGTAAAGCGACCCTTTTCGTTCCTTTTATCAGTCGATGACACACACTGAAGCGTACATACAGTCTTACTTTGGTATGCTATTATATCTGGTACGTGATTTTCGTAGTATGAATCCTGATGTTTTGTGTATGTTATGTGTACCTCCAATGTTAATAGGAAATGTAATGCTTGTAAAGCAAAACATGCAAAAACAGTTCCTTGCTTTTGATATCAACAGATTTTAATAAAAACCCATATCTTGTAAAATATGTCTTTTCCAGCAATGAACAACCCAGTTATGCATTATCAGTAATATATATTCTTCTTTCGAAAGAAAGTATACCGCATAATCACAACGTATCGATAAACAAAAAAAAAAATCAAGAAAATTAAGAACCAAGGACACCAACAAAAAAGGAAGGCGTGATGACCTCCTATAAAATACCGAAAGTGAAGTCATGCGCTAACGCACACCTCATTTGGAATAATCTATAGAAAATTCGTGATCATTTAATGTTTGGGTTACAATGGTATAGGAAGTTTTGTTCTTATCTATGTGAAATGCTTGATTAGTTCATTACCATACGAGATGGTTTATGACATGTACCTTTTATAACATAGCAAAATATCACTGAAATATATACTAACACAAAGAGAAGGTTGACTTATACGAAGGTCATACTATCATATTTATAACTACACTGGAGATATAAACGTGGACAATTGTATAACAACAGCTATCTATAGCGAGTTTAAATAGCCTTTACAACTATCCAGAACAAAAACATATCACAGGAGATGGCGAAGAAGTGGTGACATTCCCAACGCATCATATAAATTATTACTTTTAGTGAAAATTCCCTTTGTTTCCTTTCTTCATCTTTTAAGCAGAAAACTCAAACAGCAAACAATATTATTTAGTACAACTGTTTTCTTTCTGTTGATATTTTGCTTTATTTTGCTACCTTTTTGTCGACTTGTTTTCAAATGTTTTATGAAGTTAAATGAGAACTAATAGGAAGTAAATTCAATGTTTACATAAATCGTCGTCTTATTTTTTCTCCTCACTAACACCGCTTCGCTTTGAAATTTTATATCTTTTTTAATCACGGTTTTGTTAAGTAGGTAATTCGTCGTCTTACCTTCTGTTCGAGGAGCAGGAGTACACCGTCCAACAACAGCTAAAATGACCACGAATGCTACAGAATGCATATCGTATTGTGATAATTTTGTAGTAATATACGATATACGTCTGTGACCTCTAAACCATCCTCCTGAGTAAACTCGGTTGAGTATCAGTGTCCAGCTGTAGATAACGGTGAACTCGATGACACCGTATATAGAACTGTTTGGACGGGCCGTACCTCTATCGGTTATATGTGGACACGGGCACGTCACAGAGTAAGTGACTTATTATGAATTCCAAACCGCGGCCCATTACCTCGCCTTGGAATCGGATGAATTGTATGCCAAACGATCGCCTACCTGGGAATTTGAGGGTGGGCATTTGAGTTGTGACGTCATTGTCCGGAAGAGCTTCATCCCTGTTGTTTTCAATTAAGAAAGATAACATACACGCCTAGGTTTAAATTCAGTCACATGCTTTCTGATGTAGAATTATATCGATTCAACTTTGTTGCTTTGATGTCTCAATATCTGAGTCATTAAGTACTGTTTCAGTTCCATTAAGGTTTACTGTAAAAGTAGTCCATCTTCCCAGAATCCTAGCACTATATAAAGAAAAAATCTTAACAACGAGTCTTTAGTACTTTCATCTCTTCTAGGAGATTCTTCAGACTGTTTATTTGAAGTATTGATGTCATAAACTATGACGTTACATAATAGTTCGCTATAACGTCGTCCGCCATATACGTACGCACAGCAATATAAATATATTAATTATGGTCTTAATGCAAAGAGTACTATTTGTTTAGGATGTAGATATACTAGTAATAATATTACTTACAAAAGAAATAATATAATAATAATAAAAAATAAGTAAAAATAAAAAATAAAAAACTACCTGTGTGGGGCGAACTCATGACCATTACATTACTGATTCGACACACTACCGATGTCACTACTTTACACACACACCTCCTTAATAGACAAATATATATATATATATACACAACATTTTTCTAGTTAGAGCTTGTCTTGATATGTGAGTCATATTTGGTTCCAATATAAGACNGTAAACAACGACTTACAAACTCTAGAAAAATGGTCAAAAGATTGGCTAATGTCGTTCAATCCTAAGAAGACGGAAATTATGTTAGTATCCTTTTCAAATCTACCCTATCAACCTCTGTTTACGTTCAATAACATCCCTATTGAAATAACCGATCAACATAAGCACCTAGGTGTATTACTAAGTAGTGATGCCAAGTGGTCCAAACATATAGATGAAATTATCAAGAAAGTATCAAAATACACAGCAACACTTCGCAAATTGAAATTTATACTTAATAGGGATAACTTAGAGAAATTGTATTTAACATATATTAGACCAATATTAGAGTATGGCTGTGAGGTATGGGATAACTGTGGTGCTATCAATTCAAATAATCTTGAAAAACTACAACTAGATGCGGCCCGTATTGTCACAGGATTACCAATGTACACAAAAAACGAATTGTTATATGCAGAAATTGGGTGGCTACCATTGTCAAAACGAAGAGAAATCAGAAAACTGTCCCTCCTTTATACTATAAAACATGGCACTGCACCCTCATACTTATGTAATATCCTACCTCAAAATATTGGAGATCTGACTCATTATAATTTAAGAAATTCTCAGCAATTGCGGCAGCAACGGTATAGACTCCAAACTATGCGCAACTCTTTCTTTCCTTCAACTGTTGATCTTTGGAATAAATTAGACACAACCATAAGTAACTCCCAAACTCTGAAGTCGTTCAAATCAAATATACATAAGTTGAATAATGTAATAACTAAATGTAATCCATGCTTTCTCAATTTTGGTCCGCGTAGGCTAAATATTCTTCATTGTAGATTAAGAAACAGGGCAAGTACTCTCAATTATGATCTTTTTAGGGCTAATCTTAATTTTTCAGCACAATGTGAATGTGGACACACGTGCGAGGACTCGTATCACTTCTTCTTCACATGCCCTAAATACCACATCCGACGCCTTTCCTTATTGCAGAATTTAGCATGGTATCCAGGAGATATGTCATTAGACCTAATTCTAAAGGGTGATATAGATTTAAATAATGAGGCAAACTCAAACATTGCAAGAACGGTACAAGTCTATATCGACGGTACTGGCAGGTTTTGACATTTTGAGCACTTCCCCCACCCCCCC